GCAAGTCTCGTTATTATCACGTGGCCTCTTAATACAGGTTGTCTTTCAACACAAGTGGTCTTCCAACTACAGTGGTCACTTAGTTTGTTACATTTATATGTTAAGTAAGATTAAGTACTATTACACATACAATGCTCTTAAACCATACCAAAATGAAAGGGAAAACAACATTACTCCTTTACAAGGCACTGCTAGCCAGAGACAAATTCAGTTTGAAACAAAAATGATATGAAAGCAGAAAACAACACAGAACTTTTATGCTATAGCCTGATTTGACTTCATAGATCAACCAGAACATCACACAAAAACACTGAATTTTTGTGTTTAAATCATTATATCAATCAACATATATGCATACATAATATTTGTATATAACAAGCCTTTGTATTTTTTTGTCAGTTCAAAATCTACATGTACATGAAATTTGATTTCTTTTGATATTAAACGAAATAGAAAACTTAACTGAAGTAAAAAAAACTTGTAATCTTTGGAAATCTCGCCAACTGTAAACAATGGCAGTCGTCAAGTTGTTTACTGATGTACAGATTGTTTAATCCATGGCTATTTGTTAACCCATCCAGGCATATTAACTTTTGCCAATATACAATGTAAGGTAAGTTTGTAATAACAGTATCAGCTGTAGGATCATGTGGTTTATACTAAAACCTTGTATATCAACCGACAGTCACGGAGCCATGAATGTCAGGCAACCATGATAGCACTTAAAGTTGATCAAAAACATAAATCTGTGATTGGGCTGTTCAGATTTTCTACACACTTCCAAAAAAAAAAACAAAAGTAAAAAATCTGAGTTTTCAACATGTTTTGAAATTGTCACTTAGAAATCTGTTGAATCATTACCTGTATAAAATTTAAGTCTGTTGTTCTATTATTTATTTCAATGGTATTTGAGGACATTTACCTTAAGAAAATAGTTACCCTGAACCTTATTAGTGTTAGCCAGGTGTGTCCAACAAGAATTAATTTTCATAATCACAACCTCTACTTAGCCGTATCATACTGTAACAATCTGTCTAAGCTTTCATTTCTATACACTGAACCCATAGGGGCTGGCTAGTGTTTCTTCTCTCAGACGTAACACCATGTTTATCAAATCTTAATATACTACACATATTGTATTTTATTTTCTCACACCAACACACCCCATTTAGTCCAAATTAAACATTTTACCTGCTACAACGTTTTTTCTTCAAACTTTACGTAAGCTGGTTATAATTACTTCATTTTCATTAGATAATTCTTGTAAACAAATTTGGGTTTTTGGGGGTTTTTCTCCACAAGATTTAATATCCTCACAACAACCAAATTTAATAGGGATGAGTATCAAGAGGGAAGCCCAAGAGTTGCAAATAAAACACAAAAAGAAACAGCAGATCAGAGAGAAAGGGAAATATCGTAATCGGAATTACTACAATGGGAACTCAAGATCTGTTTCGATTCTGTTCAGTGTCCTTTTAGTACATTGCAGACATCGGAGAAACCACTCCAAAACTGCAGGCTGAATCCCACAACTAGTCGCTTCTTAATGACATGCAGTTAGATATGAAAGGGATATTCTGTCTCCATCCCCTGTATACATTACATGTGTCCCTCCAAACAAAAGATATGACTGACTAAAAAATACACCTTGCCATTAAAAGTATCTTTCCTGTCAAATATGATGAAAAATTGTAACTTTTACAAAGATATCTCCTTATTTTTCATCTTCTTACAAACATATTGGACGCAGTTTGCAGAACAACAGAATTAAGACATTCCTACTCAAAGTTTCATTAACATCCAAAATTTCCAGAAGTTTAAGAGGTTTTGAGTTCTCTCCTTTACCAGAGTTGAACCCATGGTGATGAGCACCGCAAACATGATCAAATATGTCTACAGTAACTTCTTGTGTTAAGGCTCGAGAACAAAATTTACAAAGATACCTTTTTAAAAATACTCTATTTGATAACAATTGAGAAATAAGCTAAAGCAGTAAGTTAGATGTAGGATGTGAAGAAAGTGTGGAAACTGAACCTTTTTATATTTGTAGAGATAATCAAAACCCTGATCAAGTGGGCGTGTTCTTTATTGCTCACCAATCAAACCATCCACACGACAAAATAGAACTACAAAAAATTCCCAAACAAATATTATTTCTAGTGGCAACCCTATTTAACATCAAGCTTGAACCATTTTGTGTTAAACGTGGGGATCAGGACGGGTGGAAACACTGCGTAGGCACTTCATGTGTGTTACTCCGAGAAACAAAGATTTGTGTAGTCATGACCTGTGAATTTAGTTGTAGAGGGTGTGAACACTCTTACACCTACCACAATTAGTAGGCACAGAATTCAAGAAGCCACCAGCTTTTTTTTTTTTTTTGACATTCTATGCATAAAATGTAACCTCTCAAACCTTAGGAAATTACTTTCTGGAAAAATAATACTGCTTAATTTTTTATATCATTATGTAGTATTAAGGTTTTATCAAATTTAATATGAATGTGTTATAAAAAGAAAAAAAATACTTATGGCATTTTAACAATAAATTATTACTCTTTGTTAAAATGAAACACAATGAAATATTACACCATTTATGAAAATGATTCTCCGTATTTTCAACAATAAAATGTAAGCCTGCACTGTATTTTACCATCAGGGTGAAACATTTCAGGTTTCCACTTAAAACCCATCAAAATGATTAAGGTACGTAATTCATCACACTTATGTTACCTACACAAGGAATTATGACTGGACAACATTCACTGTTTTCTCAATTTCTGACAAGAAACTGACGTTTTCTACATTATTTCTTTTACAGTATTACTGCCATTTTTTGTACTATCTGGCCATTTTCTTTACAAGAAATGCACTAAAAGAGACTCACATTGTCTTGCTGTAATACCTCCATCATGTCCAACTTTCAATTCTGCTGACATTTTTTTTTTATTTTGATTATTTGGAAGAAAATGCAACCCTGGTTTCTAATTTGAAATCTGTTTTCTATCATTCCTCAGAACTCTTGCTGCACTTAAAGCAGAAGGATTGTATTTAAGTAAAACTGTCTCTTTCTGTAACATAACATGATTCTGACTTTTAAATGCCGGTTCAAATAGTGAAATTTTGCCCTATTTATTTTTACAGTCAATTACAGATACTGCTTACCCTAGCTCAAAATATTCTTTTTCCCAAAATGAACAAAAAAATGTGAATGCTTTCCAAAATGGTAGAGAAAATAAGCCAGTATTTTCTCCAATTTATGTAGGCACAGATAAAATTCAGGTAAAAAATTTACTGTAGACTCACTACCTTAAAATAAGGCCGGCGGTGGCTCCTTCCCATTCAACCTTACGCTGACAAATATTTGTTGAAACATCAATGCCAAACATGTCACAGATGTTTTAGCTGACATTTACACCTTCAAATCAGTTTTTGTTAACCCCTTGGAAAGGTGACAAAAGTTTAATGATGGAAACGATCAATTTTCACACTTTCTCTAAACTCTTCAAGGTCACATATAGAAAATTTGAAAGGGGATATCAACGCTGAGGTAGATTTTGGTAGATTATAAAATGTTTTGAATACTGTAATCATGAACTGTCCTGGTGTATTGTACCTGTTTGTCTTTTAGCTCTAGATAGTATTTCAGGAGTATGAAATGATAAATGGCTTTTAATCTCAATCCTAATGATCTGAAAGGATCTTAATATTATAATCTTATTATTGACTTTAAAATTGGTTTACAGGGGTATAAAAACCACACAATGATATTAACAAAATATAATATCCAAATATCTGAATTCAACTTTTGAAGGCACTTATTATTCATACGATTCTGAATTCTAAATCATAATTTAGCTACAAAACCTGACTTTTTAATAACTTGCACATAAATTGGTTTGATCATACCAAATTAGCATTTTCATGAGATCTAGTAACTCAATTAACATCTTGCCTAGATGTTACATAATAAGTGCAATGGAATACCAATCATGTTTATTCTTTTTAAACAATGAAATATTTGTGATCTCACTTGAAATACCTTTATTCTTAAAACTGCATTTCAATTTCAAAACTATTAACTCAACTCTCAGTTGTTTTCAGAAACTGAATCCTGGCTGGTACACGAGTTTCAAATCCTGGTGGGGGAGGAGGGACATTGGTGTTAAGGCAGGGGTGATCAAAACAGGGTCACTACATAATTTTGTTGATATCAATTAACTGGTATCAGCAGTTGAAATTACTTGTTGTCCATTTCAATTGTTGTCAATTTCATAAATCTATTATTGAACTAAAAAAGTACAACTTTTTATCTTTCGAAAAAAGAAAAGAATATAACTGGTAGTTTCACAAATAAAATGCCCTTTTCACCTGGAAATTCAGAGTAACATTTTTAAAATATGTGAGAATTATACCACAAGTTTTTTTTTTTATCAAACGAAATATGAAAAAAAACATAAAATAAATTTTGACAGACATTTCATTCAACAAGAGGCCAACTCAAGAAATTTTGGGGTCGATGGCATGATTGGTATGGGGTCCTGTTACAACTATCTGACCCTTCATGAGAGGGGTCCACTTATCTATAATTATATATCGTCAGGGGGTCAACCAGTTAGAGCTGTGGATATCTTTGTGCATACTGTGACTGGCCTTCTGCTAACCAAAGAACAGAGCTCTGTACAATCGGTTCTCTCAGTTCCCCATATAAATAAAAGTAGAAATGGAAAGACATTTCTGTCACACTTCAAGATATTTATGAGAAAAGAATAATATTCCATTCTCTATAAACGCTTATCGTTATATTTTCTATAAAACCCAGACAAACATTCATTTTTTACTGAATTCTATTTAATCTTTAAATAAATAAAGTTTTATGACTGACTTTTTAATTATTAAACGAATGTCCTATACTGTTGATATATACCTTGTAAGCACTGATCTTAAACAATATTTATGAATACTATTTATTTTTAAAATCCGAATAATTGTCATACTTACATTTTCTTGAGTCCTACATGGGAGTCTCTGACTTGGTTCCTTGTCTGATAAACCAGTATGAATGGTAATTAAAAGAATTACTGATAAATAATCTATCATTTTGACGTAGCATCGTATTCATTTAAACTTGATCACGTGAACTCCATTGCCACAAAACTTTCGTTATTCCTTCATCTTCAGCCTCTGCAGTGAATAATCCGTAGGTTTGTAATAATCCGCCCCAGGGTCCATGGGTCGACCTGCAGGCCTCACGTCTCAGTCGCGACTGACCGCTAGCCGGTGTCCAGCGTAGGTAATAAAGGGCGGTGATCCTCGTGTCGCTTTAAACTCTATACTAGAAATGAGTTCCATTTTCACACCAAACATAATTTCTTCGTAGGTACGTCGGTTCATATGCTATGTGTACACACTGCTCAAACACACGGCTTTCCCATTGGTTCTTTCCAACTCCGGAATATAAATAGCACGTGTCTTTACGCGAACGATAAAAACTTGGGCAGTTACGGTCAATTCAACGCAACCGCTTTCTTCATGAATTGAAGTTCTGGTTCGCTGTGAAATTCTGATGCATAATATATAAGCAGGTCATACGTGCGGTCGCATAAATAAATTGTACACCAACTGTGGTTTACATAACCTGGATGGCGCGCTAACTTCACCTGTACCGCTTGTGATTAACTTTTTCAGGTATAGAATTCACAGTTATATGTATAGCAGTAGTATATTGACCCCTAAACAATGTAGCAATTAAATTCTTTGGGAACCGCAAATGTCTAAAAACTAAATGATTTATGAATATGTGAAATAGTCTTAATTTCATAGTAATAATATTGTGCGCCACCTCGTTAGTTAAAGGGACAATTGGTATTTGAGAGAACGCTGGCGACCCTAGCGTGGTTTTGGTTGACTGACTGCACTACGAGCCCTACCGATGGCAGATAGACATCAAAAGATTTACCAGATCAACAATGCTACCGATTAGCTATAAAACAGTCGTTGATCAATGTATATTTGTCTCGCCGCCCGGGGGTAATGGTGTACCGTTGTACGATTGAGGGGGCGGAAAATGGTCGCACGGGTCGTTTTACAAAGATACATCAAAAGTTACATTGGTTCAACCGGGTTTTCTTTTTTTCAGTCTAATTACGTAACGGATTCGTATTTCACCATTTAAATGTCTTTTTTTCCTGAACATATATATAAATATCAACCTGTTACTCTCCATCTGAACTTTTAACTTTAAATGTGTCAATTTAAAATCAATTTACAGAAGAAATCGATTTGAAGAATATTGCACGGATTAAGAATGTTCAACTTGAGCTGGTTATGATTTCTGTAATATTGTTTTGTTTCTTTTTTAATCCAAGAACTAGACATTGTATACACGTAAGAAGCTAATAGAATGGATTATATATATATATACTGCAAACAATGAAGTCACTTCTATTGATCTTAATCATATTTGCTAAAAAGAATTAATATAGAAAAACACACTAAAGAGCTGTAACATCACACACATTTAGGCGATTTAAGGATTAAATCCGTTTAACTGGGTCTGATTCGTAAACAAACACGACCCTTTTTTCGCTAACACGTCGTCGTCTCGACGAAGGTCTTGTTTACGTACATACAATAGTTCTAATTATACAGACATGCAATTTATCTTTGTTAAAACACGGACTTAGGTATATGAAAGCCCGAGGCTAAAGAAAAACGAATAACTCGTTTGCAATACTAGGAAATATCATTTTAATCAGAAGCACAAAATTATGACGACAAACAAAATATGACTTAATGAACATTTAAAGGTTATAATTTACAACAAATACTTAGAAACATAAAACATAAAAGTAAGTGAAAAGAATGATGGTTTGAAGGGGGGAAAAAATAATAAAAACAAATGTGCGTCGGCCGGGAGTCGAACCCGGATCGACTGCTTGGAAGGCAACCATGCTGACCGTTACACCACCGACGCCTTGGCGAAATGGAAGACTTTTTTGTATATAAGCAGTGGCTTGTAAACCGACCGGAAACTAATGTAAACATGAATCACATGGTTAGTGTCTGCTATGATAAAGGGAAAGAGTTGTTTCCATATCGATATTTCTGTCTTGTAAGTAACACAACCGAATAACACATGATATTGTTGTCGAAACTCCAGTTCTCAAAATACTGCATGGAGCTTAGAGCAAGGACAATAGAGCTGTATTTTCGATATTAGACTGAGTACAATGTGAAACGGAAAAAAAAAATTGTAATTGGCACCGAAAACATTTTTATTATGTTCTTTTAAATGATCTTGACCGAGTGTAGAAAGGTATGAATAGCATGGGATGTGTAATATAGATTACAGCTATTGCACATTTTTCAAAAACATCCTTATCTACCTACCCTGTTTTTTATCAGACAAAAACCGGAAGCACACAAAAACACACATATATTTTCCGTATATAGATAATACGTGACCACTGCCTTAGAATATAAACTGTAGCGTGTGTAGCTTGGGTGAAGAAAGAAAAAAGTGGGGAGCATCTGGCTAAATATGTGGCAGGTGTGTTCCGACAATTTCAGCTCTAGTGGCAGGATAAAATTATACTCTGAACCGAACTATAAGAAATACTGATACTAGAACTACATTTTCTTCGTATTTATTAATGGTTGCTGTATAACTTAAACACAAAGTGATTCGAATATGTATGGCGTACGTATATAATGCAAAATGTTTGAAATATGAATTTGGCATACCCTTTAAGAGATAATCTAGAAGTATAATGTAATATCGCTACCAACTGAAGGTCAGGGATATTATGCCTTTAATGCTGATTGCGCAGTTCTATTTAGATAACGAAATATTCACAAAATTCCATCAACGTTGTTCAACAAAAACAAAGTTGTCGACCTATATTGTTTACTGGTCAAACATTCCTGGTTTGTGTTTAAAAAAAAAGGCCTGAACGACTTAAACTGCTCGACGTTGAAGTGTAGGACTCCAGAGAGACGTGTTTTGACAAACAAGACTGGTCGAAGTTGGTGTAAGATAGTAGAAGAAAATCCCACATACGTATGTTTGTATAACATTGCCAGACGTGTTGACAGATTGAGATAATAGTTGGCTTTAGATAGGATGTCTGGCTGTCAAATTGTCTCAAACAAAGATGTCTAACATACATTGCACGACTAGTATATGTTTGTGCAAAACGTCACACCAGACGTGACGTCAGCTTTCGCTGTACAATTATTTATAAACACCGGTCACCACATATTGTTCTAAGGAAAGACAGCCTCAGAAAGTCTACAGTACATTCATCTATTTATTTTATTACAGGATCGGCCGTCTTTAACGATAAAAAATTATAGATACTTAAGGGCCAAAAATAATGAAACTGAGTTTATCGTAATATGTTTCAGATAGCGACAATGAAAATTACACCTAACTCATGAAAGCAGGGACGTATAATACGTATTATACGTCCCCGATGAAAGGTTTCTGTTTTGTAAAATGTCAAAGAAAGCTATATCATCGTTTGTTTATGGAACCACTTAATCTGAAAGTAAATTTAAAACAGCTGATAGTTTTTGTAACTTCTCAAAAAAAAAAAAAAAACGCAAGCGAACAACATCTTTAATACAAATTGTAGAGTCAGATACAACGAGAGCCAAACAATAAATCTAGACCGGGAGATGCAATGCCCCATAACTCAATAAATCTCATAATTTTAATCATTATCTTTATCATAAGTCTGCTCTAATTATATTTGATAATCTTAGAACAATGTTAAGCACGTGTATATTCTGAATCATGTCACTATTCCAATGATTTCAAACGTAGCATGCAGGTTACGAGTAACACGCCAGTAATGGTATACTCCAAATTATGGGTTGAGACCTGTTCTTTCTATCGGAGATAATATAAGTTCTTTTACTGATGATCAATCATCAAAAAAAAATGTATGAATAATCATACTTGATTCAGCTTTTATAGGTCATCGTATGTACCGCATTTCCTATCTTCGTTCAACATTGTGAACATAGAATATAATCTTTGATGAAGACTTGCCTACTGACCCAATGTTTCTCAGATATTTGGGTGAACTTTACTTATCCTTTGTATCGTGGCACGTGATATAGACCGTGAAACACATCAACGGTTATCTGGTGTATACTCAGCTACTAACTGGTTAAATATTATTAATGTATTAATATTTCAACGTAAATATTAACATTTTGCATTCTTGTTTGAAATCAAATTAAAATATTCGGAACATATCAAAATGTGTTTCTGTTGTCACTGTTTGGTAACAGTTTAAATATTTCTGTAACATAATGCTATATATTAAACTACAAACCTGTCAATATCGATATCAAGCCGACAATTAGATCAATAGGCGGTCAATAAAAAATTAAATGTCATTTCTGTACAGCCAAAGCTACCTTATACCCCAGCTGTTCCGTCGTATACTTGTTTCTTCTTCTTTTAATGTCCTAGATCCTTGATGTTTTGCGGCGATGTTACTTTATATTTTCATTGGGTAATGGTATTGAATTCTGATCTCAGAGTTACCGCCCTTCGTTTCACTCTTTCAATATGGTATAGCAGCAGCGCGACAGCTGGTTGAGGCCGAGAATGTTGAGGAAAAACCCGTATGATACAAGAGAATGTGAAATAGTTAAAAAGTTGGATGAATAAAGAAATGATAGAAATATCGTACCAAATGATAGCGACCTTAATAATTTGAATCTGATTGAAAATATCTACATGCAAGGAAACATTATACTTCGGGCTCAATGAGGGAAGTGAGTGGTAGGAGGGGAACAGGACGAGAAAGCACCTGGAAGAGATTAAAATAACAAAAACATAACTTTTATATAAATAGAATTGTTCATAGAACTGGTTTAAAAGTCCAAGTGCGAGATGAAAATTGTGCTTGGTAGATGCATGGACTCGGGACATAACTAGTAAGTAAAAGTTTGGCTTTGTTTTGTTTTATTTGTTCTTAGCAGGACAAGAATAGTAAATTAAATGTCCCAGATGTAAAAGGTGTAAAAATTCACAGGTTGAAACAAGAATAAACAAGAAAACACAAAGTAATAATTTCACGCTAAAGAACACAAATAAAACGGGAACCATTTCCACCTTTTCCCATTTTTATCGGCGTACAAATCATACTCACAAACCACACGCAGTAACATAGCAGTGTATACAACGGTAACCTTCATGAAAATCAACCCGGGCACGTACGAACCATGCCATCAACTATACACCATTTTGTCATAAGTAGTCATAATATCGCCAGCTCCCCGAGTCCCGATAGGACTTTTTTAACCGTAAGAGCTTTACGTAAGTATATAAAATGTCGGTTCTAATTTTGTCTAAAGCGTTGAGATCGAGAGTGACATTATCCAGCAGACGGTAGCCATTAGCGCCACCGGCAAAGCCAACC